AGCAGGGTACGTGGAGGACCGGGGAGCGGTGCAGCAAATAAGAGGCGGGACCCCGCAGCCGGCTACAAAGAAAAACTCAGCCTTCAAGATGACATCTCCCACACACACGGAAAATTGAGGTTTATCCACTCTGTTATTAATAATTAAGACTTGCATTTGGTTTATGATGTACAATAAGTAAATAAGTTAGGTTTCTCGCGGTGTTCTTTACACTGAGGCCATAGCCACTAAGGGCCCCCTTCATCAACCGATGAGGAAGCTGCCTTTAGAGGTGAAGCAGGGTCCACCTCTGAGACCCCCACCTTAGAAGTTAAGAGTTCAGTTTGAGTCTTGTTTGTTCTTAATGTTGACTTTTTTATATGTTCTATGTTCAGTGTTTTCAAGAGTGAGTGGGGAGCCCATTAATCTATGTGTTATAATTAGGAAATATAATTTAGATGAGTAGCAGGTTGATAAAATTGGTGTCAAACAATATTAATGGTTTACATAATCCAGTAAAAAGGTGGAAAGTCTTATCTAAATTTAAAAGAGACAAAGCCCAAATTGTTTTATTGCAGGAAACGCATCTATCTGATAACGAACATGTTAAATTGAACAGGATGGGTTTTAAACATGTTTTTTATTCTTCCCACAGTTCTGGGAGGCGTAGGGGAGTGGCGATTTTGCTATCCGGAACTCTTAACTATGAACATATATCAGAATACAAAGATAAAGAAGGTTGATACATAATGATAACGGGCAAGATTGATGGTACCATGACTACCCTCTTGAATGTATACATTCCACCTGGCAGCGTTTGGTCACTATAAACAGATTCTCGAAATTGCAACAACTAGGAGTCAGGGAACTTTAAAATGCGGTGGTGACTTTAATACCTTATTAAACGCCAAATTTGACTCTTCTTATGGGAAAGGCGATGTACGAAATATTGGTAAAAGGATGGGACACCTCATGAATGATTTAGGATTAGTTGATGTATGGAGAGAACATCACCCAACTAATAGAGAATACACCCACTTCTCATACCCACACAACATATATTCTAGGTTAGATTACATTCTCATATTTAAGAATGATTTGTTTAAAATCAAAACCTGTGAAATTGGTCCCTCTACAATTTCTGATCATAATCCAGTCTATGCTGATATTTGTCTGAACAGGAAAAATAGGTCTACATTATGGAGGTTGAACACAAATATTTTAAACTACCCAAACATTAAAGAGAATTTTTAAAAAAGAAATAAAGAATTATTTAGTTCAAAATGATAATGAGGAGGTGTCACCAGGAATACTATGGGATGCACTGAAGGTGGTGATTAGAGGGAAAATAATTAGCATATCCTCCCACTTAAAAAGAGAAAATATGCAAAAACGTAAATACCTGGAAGATAAATATTTAAAGCTGCAACACCAACACTCCGTGACTATGAATGATGATATTAAATCTGATATGGTAAAATTAAAAAAACAATTAGATGACCTAAACATGATTGATGTACAGAAAAAAAATCATTTTTAACAAGCAGCAGTACTCCTGATGCATGCACAATAATCCAGGTAGAAAAATCTAAAAAAGTTAAATCTGGTCCTCTGGACATTAAAAAACTAAACAAAGCAAAACAAAACAAAAAAATGTAGAAACGTTTCGTCTCTCATCCGAGAGACTTCCTCAATCTGAGGCGCTGTATTCAGCTCAGTCTCTTAAATAGCACCTTCTCAGAGTGGATCAACCAGTTCTGCTGCTGACAACAACAAAACAGCTGATCACATGCTCAAGAAGGACCATCAGCCTAACAATGGATCATTAGCACACTGATGGCTGTTTACTATTCACAGAGGGTCCTGCGGTGTAAGAAGGACAGCATTGTTTATCCAAAAAAGTTCAATCTGGTCCTCTGGACATTAAAAAAAAAAAAAAAAAAAAAAACAAAGCAAAAAAATATAGAAACGTTTCGTCTCTCATCTAAGAGACTTCCTCAGTCTGAGGTGCTGTTTTCAGCTCAGTCTCTTAAATAGCACCTTCTCAGATTGGATCAACCAGTTTGCTGCTGACAACCAAAACCAACTACTCACATGGTCAAGAAGGACCATCAGCCTAACATTGGATCATTAGTACACTGATGGCTGTTTACTATACACAGAGGGCTGAGTGATACTAGCAATCACAGCATTGTAAGAGGGGGACAGTTGAACCCGGAGGCCTCCACCCCTGTTTAATGATGGACGATTTCTTTTCACAAAGATGGCCTCCTTTACTCCTCTCTCAAACCATCGTTCCTCTCTGTCCAGGATGTGAACATCTTCATCCTTGAAAGAGTGACCGCTGGCCTGGAGATGAGTGTAGACCGCAGAATCCTGGCCTGATGATGTTGCTCTTCTGTGCTGGGCCATCCTTTTGGCCAGTGGCTGTTTAGTTTCCCCGATGTACTGTCACTGTTTATGTTAAAGTGAAGTGGGAAAAAGAAGGCAGCCTGACAATTCCAGAGGAAGATTGGGACCACATCTGTAAGATACCATAGACAACAACAAGATCAAAGGTTTGGCGGGAATTTTGCTTGAAAAGCATTATAAGATTTTTCATAACCCCAGAGCAGAAACGATATCAGGGAAGGGGCGATACCTGCTGGAGATGTGGCAGGAATGATGCCAATCATTTCCATATTTTCTGGGACTGCCAAACCATTCAGCAATATTGGTCTCAAATCCATGAACATTTATAGAACATTTTCACATTTGACTTTCCTTTAACCTTTGAATGCATATTTTTATGTAACATACTGGTCGACAAACTGAACTATAACGATCAAAAACTTCTGTTCATTTTGCTGGCGGGGAGCAAAAAGGCCCTCACAAGAAAATGGCTTAAACGGGAACCTCCAACAACTGAAGACTAGATTAATGTAGTGAAAGAGATTTATGTATTGGAGAAACTGTCATTTTCCATTAATGTGCAGAGGGACACCTTCTACAAGATATGTCTGATTTTTTGTAAACCTTGCTATCATTCAGATTGATGTTTGGATTTGATATGTGAGAGGTCAATGATTAGTTGGTATTTAGGCTACCCTGCCACTCCCATGTAAGTTCTGGTTGGTTTTTGTTGGTTTTGCTTTGTTTTTGTTTTTTGTTGTTGTTCGGTTTGTTTGGTTTGTGTACGTGTTTTTTTTCTGGCAAAGAAAAAGTGAGAAAACTGAGAAAGAATGGAAAATGAGAACGAAATCAATA